ACAAGAGGTGTTCGTAAATGCCGAACATGGATTTACTCACTGGGGTGCCTTGAATGCACAACACCTTGTAAACATTGATTTGTCCTTGTTAACGACATGATTTGTCCTTACCTATTGTATAAGACGATTCCTACCGGGTCTGCATCACCTCTTTGCCAGCCTCTTCATTTGTTTGTTTTTTCGTAGCTTGGAGTGCTGCGACTTAATTTTGTGTTTTCTGGTGTTAGCGCACGGTTTATTGCGTCGCTGTGATAGAGGAAGGGGCATCTATGGTTACCTGTCATTGGGTAACGGCATCGAAAAAGATCACAGGCTGGCGGCTTTCGGCGGTCAATTTCACCAGATTGTTTTGTCGATCCAGGTAACGGCGTCATTCCATGCCACTGGGGCCAGTACCATACAAATTCTGCAAATTTCTGAGCTATGGCGTCGGTGTCGCTTCTGCACTGTCTGCAGCCGTGCATTATCGGACGCTGCTTGCACTGAAGCACTGATAATAATCCGCACACAGATAGCAATGACGAGAGCAGGTACTCAGCGCCGGCAAAGCAATGTGATGCTCCGAAACGGGATTAGAATCTTGTGACTTACATCTAATAGCGAGCGCTGCTTAGCCCTTTTGTTGTGTCCTCCGAAAGCGCATACGTAAAACAAAAGGGTAACAATTTGTTCAAGCGCAGCGGTAATGTTTCACTGCGTGAGACTAAGTTTCAGACGACGAAATCTCTATTGCTTTCAATTAGCGTTATTGTTTATATTTGTATTTTGTTTGTTACTATTGCATATTGTTACTATTGCATTCATATAGCGTTGGTTTTACTGCGTTGCTGTAATTCCTGATTAGACTGTAAAGGTTCGCTGATTGCTCCTGTTCTGAACACCAGTATCTTATTATGAGATTTGTGCTTGCATGCAGAACTAACAAAGGTTTGCTCTTTGTCGATCGTTCTCGTTCTGAACACCTGAGCTGTTTCATCAATGCTTGTCTTGACACCGTGCCGTCTGCTGGCTGCCACCTTGGCTAATTCTGTAATGCAGTGTATAAGACTCGAAGCTTGCGAAAGGCGTCTAGCAGCCCCTCAGGAAATATTCTCATGGTAACTATCGGTGCATACAACCCGAAGCTAACTGAATGTTCCCCGTTTGCATGTCACCATGCGCAGTGAAGCCAAGCAAAGTACGATTGACGCAGGGCTGCTGGCATTCCCCGGGAGTGAGCACTGTGTGCCGGAACTAACGAGGATCCGGATGGAGGGGGGGGGGGGGGGGGGCAGGCGGCTCAAGATGAACTGAACGGCCGAGAAAACGTATTGAGCGTTCCAAAATGGGAACGCTCAGCCTGGACCTTGCTCCTCCGCGTCGGACGGACGGGCTTGGTGGAGAAAATGGCGCTACTTTGCCACGTTAACGGGTGAACTGGACGGGCTAATATGGCCGTTACTCCTGTCTCACGCTGTGGACGGCCGGTGAGGCATATCTGTCGATTTTGTGGTCGATGGCAGCCGTTTTTCAATGTTTCGCCGAAGTTGAATGCAGGCCATTCTGTGGGGCTTTCTTAAGTCGCATAAACTGTTGGAGGTCTGAATTATCCCGGTTCATTTTAGTAGGTCCTAGAACGTTCCTGGACGCATGTCACCAGTGATACCCATATTGCTCTGTGCCACATAATGTGTGTTGAAGGGGCCTCCCTGTGCAGTCAGGATAGTAGCCGTCTAAGTCTATTGTCCGGCCTTCACTGGCCGTGGTACGAAGGACGTGGTACGGCCGGTCACGTGGCTACCTCCTCGGGTGCGGCCCGACGGGTTCGAGGTCACGTTCGCACATGGTGAAACCGAACCATTTTGATTGCAGCTCACACCACGCTAGGTCCATGTCATTGTTGAAAATGATCTGCGATGGACTTTAGGAACACACTGCACCCTCACAGGTGCTGGGGGGAAACTGCTGTACTTGAAAGCGACGAATGCGGCTAGCGAAATGCACCTATGGGGGGAGCATCAAACTTAGAAATTTAACAGCACCTTTTCTCAATGGCCTAGACGGCCTCAAAATGCCAACTGTATGTGAAAAAGAACACCCTTGTGAACGTGAGTCCATCAATGAGAACAACAGACGATACTACTGCATTGCTAGCCTGATTCATTGAGCCGCGTTTTGGTACCTCATGCACAACCTGACGTCTAAACCGCCGACTCAACATAACTGGGGCCTGAAATATCATCAAACTTTGGAGCAAATGCGGCAAAGTGTGGTCTAAAGTGGCAGTGAGGCGTAGGCCGTTCGACAGTCATGAGAACGTCATGGGGTGGACCGGGTGGCTACCTGACCGTGGGGTGGGGTGGATACCTGACCGTGTGGTCGGTCTGATACCTGGCCGCGGGATGGGTGGGATACCTGGCAGTGGGGTGGGGCTGATGCCTGACCGTGGGGTGGGGTGGATACCTGATCGTGGGGCTGGGTGGACTGGGTGGATCACTGACTGTGGGGTGGGTAGATGCCTGACTGTGGGTCGGGGTGGATATTTTCCCTTGGGGGGGGGGGGGGGTGAACGCCGGGGCGTAGGGCAGGGGGATACATGACCGTAGGGTGGGGTGGACGCCTGACAGTGGGTGGGGCGGACCCCATCACAGCGAGGGTTAATATGCTTATGTCATATTGGTTTGGAAATGAACACCTGCTTGTCATGTTCATGGCAGGCGTTTGTGCAAAAGCGTTGTCATGTCATGCGTTGGCACATACCACGGGTATGTGCTATTGCATCGGTTGTTAGATATTGCCTTTGTTATTTTACATTTTGCACTTATGAATTCATGCAAGTGCACTGCATGCAGAAGCTTTCACAATGGCGATAATGATAAGCTTCACTAGTCTGATAATGTCTGTTGAGTTTCTGCTGAGTTTTTCGCTCTTGAGCTTCTGCTTAGGTTGAAAAGGCCTTTGACATTGACGCCAAAATTACTATTTTCATTTGAGTCGTTCTCGATGTAACATGTTTTGTTATGTAACGGAGTAATCCTCTATGCACCTACGTTTCGTTACCTCGTTTGGCTTTCTTCTCATTCATTATCTAGTTTGTATTGTTTGTTTAATCCTATTATGCAGCGATTTAGTCCACATGAACCTCGTCTCTCGTTATTGTGGCTTTTTGTACCTTGCTAGGTCCGATCTGCCTGCCCTGTTGTTTGCCTCTGAAGTTGCCTCCGCTCCAGGTGATAAGCTTGGAGGGGTGGACGGACATCATGTACTACATTCAGGACGCACACAGCTTTTGGGACTTCATCTACTTTGTCTTGCTCATCGTGGTGAGTTATCCGTCAGGGGCTCGTGCGCCGTCGGAGAGATTAGCTGTGAAGAAGCTTGCTAGTGCAAGCACGCCCTAGGCAGTTGGACTAGTGAATCGGACGCAAAAAAAACTGCGTTTTCACTTCAGCTGAGCAGCTGTCATTGTGTGCAGGCAAGCGAGTCAATTGCGATGGTTCATCCCGCCCTTTCAATTGCATCGTCGTCCCAGCCTTTTGCGACGGTAGTGACATGATCCGCACATTCAGTTCCCGCTCTTTGTTTTTGCAAACCGAGGCGGGCCGCCCATCGACCTCATGGCTCCAGGCTGTCAGCACCCTTTGCTATGGTCAAATGCCGCAGCCGAGGGGACGGCTGCTTCGGCGCATTCAGAGTAAAAACCCGTCGGTCTACCGTATCACTTCGAACCGAGGCCGCACGTCCACGATCACCCTCCGCTTCAGCCCAACCTCGCCTCCGTTTTCAGATCGGGTCGTTCTTCATGATCAACCTCTGCCTGGTCGTCATCGCCACGCAGTTCTCAGAGACGAAGAGAAGCGGGAAACGGAGCGCATGCGTCTGGAGCGGGCGCGCTTCCAGAGCACATCCACCCTGGGCAGCTCGCTGGAGAACGCCGGCTGCTACGCCGAGATCCTGCGCTACATCGCGCACGTGTGGCGGCCGGCTGCGGCGCCGGCTGCGCTGGCGCTGGCGGCGCTGGCGGCGCAAGCCGCCCACGCGCTTCAGTCTGCGCCGGCGCCGGGGCGGCGCGCCCGGCAACAACAACGACTACTGTGATAGTAAGGACGAGTGGGCGCCGCGCGCCAGTCCCGAGGCGTCGGACGTGGACCCGCTGTCAACGCCGCGCCACCCGGAGGCGGCTGCCGAGGCGGCAGCCGAGGCGGAGGTGGACACGCTGCCGCCGGACGGCGACGGGGAGCGGGGCGGACATGGGAGACCACCTGCTGCCGCCGAGCATCCTCTGCAGCCGGCTGAGCACTGACGCCGGCCGGCCACCGGAGCGGCGCGCCAAGAGCGTCAGCTACGACGTCAACAAGCCGGTCATCATCCCCATCCAGCGGCTGGGCGCGGCGGCGGCGGCAGCGGCGGCGGCGGCGGGCGGCAGCGAGGTGGCGCCGCTGCCGGCCGCCGTTGCGCGCCGAGCTGGCGCGCGCCGAGTCGCAGCTGCGCCGGCTGCGCAGCTCCGTGTTTCCGCGCGTCAGCCAGTCGGCCGACAGGGGCCCGCTGACCTGTACCGAGCTGCTCGCCATCAGCGGGGCGCTCAGCGCGGCTCTGCCGGCGCAGCTCGGCGCCGAGCCTGGCGCGGAACCGGTCGGCGCGGCGGCGCACTGCCTGCTGGCTGGCCGCGGCGCCGGTCGGCAGCTCTCGGAGCCGGCGCTGCTGCTCGGCTCGCCGCCGACCGGCTCGTCCGGCTCGGCCAGCGAGGCGAGCTGGAGTGGCGCCAGCGAGTCGGACTGGTCGTCGGACGAGTCGGACTGGTCGGAGGCGCCGCCGCGGCCGCCGCCATGCCCGCGCCTGCGCGAGGCGGTGCGCCGCGGCCGCGGCGGCATCAAACGCTTCATCGAGCACTCGTACTGCCAGAAAGGTATCCTGCTGGCCATCATGATCAACACGCTGAGCATGGGTGTCGAGTTTCACAACCAGCCCGAATGGCTGACGTCCGTCGTCGAGATCAGCAACATCATTTTCTCGGCTATCTTCGCTCTGGAGATGCTGCTCAAGCTGATCGCCGTCGGCTTCTACGGGTACATCAGCAACGGCTTCAACGTTTTCGATGGCCTCATCGTCATCATCAGGTGAATTCCGCAACATGACATGCGATCGCTGTTGCCTGCTGTCGACAAATAATTTCGGTCCGGAGACAGGTTTGACTTTCGTGCCGCGTCGCCGTTCTACATACCAATAGATAGCGTGATTACTGTGAAACTGCCTGTGATGTACGCGGGAGGTGCACGCGCGGGAAGTCAGAGGTGCGGGGTTTGTTTCCCGCCGTCTCCGCCCTTCCCACCTGTGATGTACGCGGGAGGTGCACGCGCGGGAAGTCAGAGGTGCGGGGTTTGTTTCCCGCCGTCTCCGCCCTTCCCACCTGTGATGTACGCGGGAGGTGCACGCGCGGGAAGTCAGAGGTGCGGGGTTTGTTTCCCGCCGTCTCCGCCCTTCCTACCTGTGATGTACGCAGGAGGTGCACGCGCGGGAAGTCAGAGGTGCGGGGTTTGTTTCCTGCCGTCTCTGCCCTTCCCACCTGTGATGAACGCAGGAGGTGCACGCGCGGGAAGTCAGAGGTGCGGAGTTTGTTTCCCGCCGTCTCCGCCCTTCCCACCTGTGATGAACGCAGGAGGTGCACGCGCGGGAACTCAGAGGTGCGGAGTTTGTTTCCCGCCGTCTCCGCCCTTCCCACCTGTGATGAACGCAGGAGGTGCACGCGCGGGAACTCAGAGGTGCGGAGTTTGTTTCCCGCCGTCTCCGCCCTTCCCACCTGTGATGTACGCAGGGGGTGCACGCGCGGGAAGTCAGAGGTGCGGGGTTTGTTTCCCGCCGTCTCCGCCCTTCCTACCTGTGATGTACGCAGGAGGTGCACGCGTGGGAAGTCAGAAGTACGGGGTTTGTTTCCCGCCGTCTCCGGCCTTGCTGCCAGGGCTAAAGAGAGGCGATGTAATACCGCCTTCGTAGCTGAGTGCGGAGTAAAGCTCCAACAACAACAGAGATATGGTCTATGAGATACGCACAATGTTTAAAGGTCAGATGTGCCAATCGTCGGTGAAATTTCTTTGTTCATGTGTACAACTTGCAACCATATCGGTAACAAAGATCATTCCCGCCTGGACTTTCACGTTCTTCCTTCCCTGTGTGACCTCCCCGGGCTGTAATGCTTGGTGGCTCCTCTACTGTGTGAGACAAAAGTCAATATGACAGTCTACACTGGTCACCTAACACTCCTCGGGCCAAATGAGTGGGTAATGGTAGGTTAAGTGACAAGTGACATCAGGTGACAAGTGACAAGTGATATTGACTGACTTCGAACAAGTGAACGAACGACGGACTGTCATGGCAGAGAGTTAGACGTGAGAGCGCTGCTGGGGAGAATGGCCGAGTGACTGTCTGAATGGGTGTTTGAGTTAACACGCACCCGAGTGGCCGGTTAGATGCCCTCCCCTCGGGTGGGGGTCAATTTGACCCACCTGATATCTCAGAAACTAAGAAAGCTAGAGATACCAAATTGACCAGGTATGCTGACCTGCGCATAAACTCACTTAGGTCAGAGTTTGACATTCCTTAGTCATGACCTTCGGGTCAAATAATGTCAAACAAGGTCAAATTTAGGCTGGTTGCAAAAGAGCCTCTAGAACTTAGATAACTGTTCTAATGCAAAATTTCACATGCTCGTTGAGTTTTACGTTTGGAAAAGCGACAAAAATTACGCTAGGCAGTATGTTCCTGAAAGCAAAATGCTGACCGTGGTCATTGTAGGTCAGTGACCTTTTCCTGACCTTTAAGAAGTCTATGGAAGGTGCATGATGCGGTTTCTGTCATCAATAAATTCGAAATGAGCACCAGGAACTACCCCATGCAGCAATTGCTAGAGTAATTAACGCGGGATAGTTTTGACCTTGGTCTGGCAGTAATACCTGACCTTAGTTTCATATAGTTTGCTCATGCAATTGTTGTGTTGCCTAAGGAAGTATGTCAGAGACATATGGCTTTGTTCAAACACTCCGCTGTTGGATCAGATTGAACGATTCTCTACATTTTGCCTTTGCTGAATATATGGCCTGAGTTTCGCCTACCATAGGTCAGCGACCCTACAAGAAACACCTAAATTGTTGATGCCAGACGATCCGCTATCCAACTGTCTACAGCCATGCAACATTTAGCGCAGTTAAGCCGCGCCGTTCGGCAACCATTTAAGAAAAGCCTTCGGGTGGGGCAATTTGACCCCCACCCGAGCGCGTGTTGATGAATGTCCTGAATGGATGTCTAGGTCACTTTCAGCGTCTGAGTTAGTGTGACTGTCCGAGTGGTGTCTGAGTCAGCGTAAATAAGTGGACGCCTGAGCCCGTGGGTGTCTGAGTGAGTGGGGGCTTGAATCAGTGGGTGCATGATTTAGTGTGCTCATGATCAGCAGGCTTAATGACTGAGTGCTGGACGAGTGAGTAGCAAGCTTGGTAAGTAACTAAGATCAGCTGCAGCCCACCGTACCACCACGATTGGTTCAGTCGTGTGGCAAAGTGGCTTCCGCACAACTGTGGCGCGATCACATTCTGGCTAACTGCGGTTATACCGTAGTTATCTGGTGGGCTTCGGATGATGCCTAGCCTGTCATCTTTCGTGTAGGAATTTTTACTTCCCGTCCTCACTGCGGGGTCCGCCCACCGTGGTGCGGACACGGCTAAATAACACCCCGTGCCATTAAGGACTACGCTTTCAGATACCGTACCTGTGCATGCGTCGCAAAGGTCGCACCTTAGCATTGTGCGATGCTTTGCGACATTGTCGGAATGCTGTCACTCATTTTCGAAAATGTTGCGAAATGTTGCACGATGTTGCACGATGGGACATGCTCGTCTCAGTACAACGCTACAGTCGCGGCAGCCGGGGCACAGCCCTGTCTGTGCACAGTCGCGCACTTCAACGCTACAGTCGCGGCAGCCGGGGGCCAGCCCTGTCTGTGCACAGTCGCACAACCCTGTGGCCGAGGCTCGGCACAGTTACAGTTGTGTGCAGCTGTGCACGGCTACAAATTGTCTCAGTCAGTGTTTGAATACCTATGCCGTTGCAGCGCCATGGACCTGTACAAGTCGCAGTTTAGCGAGACGGGCGAGGGCGGCTCGAGCCTCTCGGTCCTGCGCACGTTCCGCCTGCTGCGAATTCTGAAGCTGGTCCGCTTTCTGCCGAACTTGCGACGGCAGCTTCTCGTCATGCTCAAGACCATGGACAACGTCGCCATCTTCTTCTCCCTCCTCATCCTGTTTATCTTCATCTTCAGGTATGTGGCATGGCCTCCAACGGCTGGCAGCGCGATGCGGTGTTTATTTACGTCTTGTGATGAAGACCAATGCGATTATTACGCTATGGTGTGTGGCCCCGAAAAGTTCCTCTTCGGGCTGTTGCGGCAATGCTTCTTGTTTGTTGCTTGATATCACTTATGTCAGAATTACCCCATTCAGAGGATTGCTCATTAGCCAATGGCCGGAAAAGGAACAAAATGTACTGGGGCTTATAGTTCTGAATGTAACTGAAATGTGCATTGATCAAATGTGCGAATCCTGTTTGCCTACAATTTGTTGCAAGGTATCCTTAAGCTCGTGGATGTGATTCAGGACTGTAACACGCAAGCTGCGATTCAGTGTACCTGGGCCGGCAACGATGCTTCCTGAACTTACTTGGAACCCACCGATTAAGGACACGATTCTACTTCATGCGTAATTTGCGATGTGATAGTTTGGCAAAATATTGGATTTGTACACAGATGTTCTCGGAAACCAGTCTGAATAATTGCAGGGCCATAGGACGTTGTAATCACATTTTTTATTGATAGGCACACAACCTTTCCTCAATCGTTTTGTCAAATAGAACAGAGGGGATCCATGGCCCATGATTAAGCAGCTGCTACTTCAAGACGTACTATACGCTTGGCATTGGCATACTGATGGGAAATTGCTCACATCATTTCTTAACCGATATTCAATGGCTTCGTGCCGGCATGTTGCGTGCACCGGCTCGATGTAACACATCATCGCCTTGATTGCATCGATTATTTTATTACAAATATCTAGCCTAGGTTAACGTATCTTGCCCATAACTTTCCAGGGGTGACATGGTCTTTTTTACCCCACTTCAGCGTTCACCTGACAGCTCCATGGGTCTGCTACTTGTCCGTTTAACCACGCATGAGAGTCAACCCTCACAGCTTCGCCCCTAACGGTTATCTGGTCCAGCTCGGACCGTCGCTGGCTCTCACTGCTTTTGCGAGCAGCCGTCTCGGTTCAGCCGTGTACCAACTCGCGCCCTCCGTCGTTTTCGCCTGCAACACACTACTGCGCCGCCGGACCGCTCGGCCGACGCCTGCCGCTCACCACCTCCGGGGCCAGGGGCGACCTCCCGAGAGCCTCCCCTCTGGCATGTGGTCTGCCTCGGTGTCGTGCCTTCAGTGGCGTCCGGTGGCGCGCGAGCGTCGCCTGCCGTGGTGCTCCGTGTCTGTCACTGTCCATGTCCTCCGTGGCTCGACTGCTTGAGCGTTTGACAGACTGTCGCACTCGTCGCGTGCAGTCGGGAAGACGTCGAGATGGCGGGCGTGTTGGGTCGAGGTACGCGAACGCAAAGCGCCAGAGAAAACGTTGGTCCTTGCAAGACCACGTGCGTGGCGCACACTTGGTGACACGTGTGCCTCCATATCAGTTGGGTCGGAATGGCATCTGCTATGATCGCTAGCGTCCCTTCTGCTTTAAAGTTGTTGTACAAGAAACGATTGTGTCTTTTGGCTGATTCTCAATTAGAAAAGTCTAATGCATCTAGAAGTGTCAAGAGAATGAGGGGCTGTCATCACATGCACGTATATATGACGAAGAGCTTGTTCTCTCAAAACCGATGACCCACATTGGCGATGTATGCGAATATGCGCCTCTCGTAGTCATTACAATAGGACAGAAACACTATGCAGTATGAATGGAGAACACTTACGAATTTTTGACGAGCTTTTCTTTTTACGAAATGCATGTTACATTAGCGAAAAAAGCTATCTTATCGTCCAACTGTCCAAAGACATAGAGTCACTATCAAGCTCGGTCTTAGTGATCGCTGGTGATGGAATCAGACACCTCCATTCCGTCATTTGTTATGTTATCGTACCGATGCAATTTTTGAAGCGCTAGTTTATCATTCTTTTTGAAAATGGGTGAGGTGAGCTGCTAGACTGTGTCATCTGCGATGTCGCTGTGTGTGCGTGCTTATTCAATCCGGCTCTCTAATCCGGTGACATGTTGATTGCCATGCGATGGTGATCAGCCATGTCAAAAGCATTCAGTTCTGTTCCACAACCATCTACCCGTGTATATAATCATTCGCAGCACATGAGCTTGGGTCGACTAACGTGTGTTTTTTGCGGCTTGAGCTCTGCGTTAGCGTGTCCAACGACGCGTCCAATCGCGACATTTTTTCTCTCCTCTGTTTCAGTATATTGGGGATGAACCTGTTTGGGTGTAGGTTCTGTAGGAAGGACGCCGCCGGACAAGTGACGTGTGATCGTAAAAACTTCGACTCCCTCCTGTGGGCCTGCATCACAGTCTTCCAGGTACCTGCCGTACCACAGTCATACACTGGCGCACTTTCCACGTTCGGGCGGGTCCGTTATAATCCCCGTGATATCCTCCATAGCGGAGGGAAGCTTGTGACATTTTATAATCTCATCTTTGGTTGTGAGGATGGCCGGTGGCCTGCCCGGCCGTGGAAAGTGCTGTTGCTATCGGAATGTTTGGCACACGCATAGCTCCCGTTGTGCGTGCGGCCGCTGAAGCAGGTCTACCACCACCTGGCGTAGGACGGAAGGACGGTCCCGTGGCCGCTCACCTGACGTGCATGTGGGGAAATCGACCAGAGGGGGGGGGGGGGGGGAGAGGTAGAGAGACGCCCGATGTGGATCTGCATAGGTGAGTATCGTCTGCGTAGTCTCGCTTGTTTGCCCAGCATGTTTCTCCATAGATGTCTGCATGATCTGTTCTGGGATGTCGCACGCTCCCAGCTGAAGTGAATCCTGTAAAGGATCATGTCACCCTGGATGCTGGGGTAACCGAGATAAGCTCTAACCTGACTTAAATAATTGCCGCTGGTAGCAGCTAGGTATGATCAGTAAAGTGAAATGGAACGACCGTAAATGCATTCAACACTAATGGCGTGCGAATAACCAAGAGTAGCGGAGCATTTTTGTTTCCTCAAACACCCCAACACGAAAGTGTGTTTCGCGCCAAACAGAACGGCAGTCAATTTCGGACGCTTATTTGGACGGGTCTTCCTTCTAACGTTGTTCCGAGCTTCACTGCATGCGTCTGGGACGACTATTCACGCACACACGGACCATTTGGAAAATGAGCCCGCCCTGCAGCGGGAGCTGAGCAAAACTTCCAGGCCGAGCTTTCTTTCAACCACGTAGAATGGCTGCCAGGGCCACCAGCTGCAGCACAGCTGAAGAAAATAAGGAGATCGTGAAAGGCATCATTTCGTTCAGCTGAGTGAGACGTAACACGCGATACTCCTATTGCCGAGCTGAGAAAACGGCCCTTTGCGGTCTGTATGAAGCGCAATGTCTCGTAAAAGAAGGGGACAATCTGATGGGTAAGCTGCGTTCTTTCAATCATCGGAGTGGGAACAAATAAAGCGACAGAACGAAGGGGCAACATGAGCATGGCCCCGGAACAAACTGTAATCGAGCTGTAGACCAGTACCTGCCAGATAACGAGACTGCACAGTCTGAGGAGAGTCAGAGCTCCTTAGAGCAGGTATATGAACAGCTCACCATAACATCAGTGTTCAGTTTGTTGTCTGAAATGATCAACCGGGCTGCATTTCTAGTCATGTATTGCTGACGCATGGTGACTGTACCACGACTTTCTCGAGGAAAGTCGAGCCGCTCCTTGCCGGCTGCCACGTCAAAAGCGACATGCCTCCACGATTGGCATGTGAAACAAGGAATAGGACATTCAGACGTGAGTTGCGGAAGACAGGGGAGGTTTAAGGGGAGTGCTTCACACCCGTATGAAGTTTTGAACCGAAATAGCTATATTGAAGATCATTCGGTGCAGTTGACAGCCCTACCTTTCTTGAAACCCTAACCCCTCTAGTTTCGGATCGACACGCCCACGAAGCTATGCAAAGTTTTTCGTGCAAATTGTTTCAAGGTCACCTGGGTATCAACGACGCCATAATAAAGTCATTCAAATCCTGCCATTTTGTTTGGCGATGCCATAGTCCAGAACAGCACAGCATAATTGTCGAATCGTTCACATCTGGCGTTCGTGAATGCGACTTCCGACTATGACGGCCCTTAATTGGCTTTCAATCAATGTTGTGCGACGTAAGATTTTGCAATCAAACAATGACACATTGAGGCACATATTTACTAAATAGAGAGCTTTTTTGTCAGGAACAATATTTTTAACTTGAAAATATATCATCAGATTTAAGTGAGCTCGTTTTATCATATCTGATACCTGCCTCAATATCTTCTAATGTGGAGCATTCCCTTAGATGCACCACCAAGCGCTCGTTGAAACGCTAAAATGTATGAAAGAGAACAGAGGCGCAGGTACGGCTGCCACGGCTTCGTCGTCGGCACTGGTCCAGCTTAAGCTACCCCTCCCGTCTCTCGGTGTTGACACGAACATTGACTTCAACCTGTGTTGACAATGACTTCAACCAAAATCCGTTGCACACGTTAAGGACCACCATAGGGCACAGGCGGCCAGCACAGTTCAGACCCGCGCGCCGCTGTAAAGAGCAGGGCAGCGTACCGCTGTCTCTGCGCGGTATGACCAGCGGCACCAGGAGTGGACCCTCGCCCCCTCTCCGTGACTAACGTCGTCACCACCGGATGTCGTCACAGGCTACGTCCCAGGAGAGCACCCCGCCCCGCTCTGAGCCAGGTCTCGGGGCGCGATGAGAGACGGGCGGCTCGGCGATAGTTACCGCTCTGGCGTCATTGGAAACTATGGCACCTGGGATTGAGTTCGGCGCGATCCCGCGGCCCGATAACGGTATCTGTATTGATCTTGGCGAAGTCTGTGCAGAGCAAAAGTGGAAGCATTCTGAAAATGGTCTAAACGTAAGCGTCCTCATCAGTGAGAGGAGTGGAGCAATATTGGGTCATTTATTAGCCAGGTTGGCCTTTCATACAGCTACAAGATATCCTTGGTGAATTCAAGCGAACAAAATTCAACCACGCACTCTTTTACTTCAAGTTGTTTTAGACATCACCAAGTGTTGCATTTTCTGTTCGAGTATAAGCCCCCCCCCCCCTCCCCCTTTAGTAAACCATGCCCACCAAAGCTAAAACCTCAATCACGAAGATTATTTACGAGGTGATGTAAAAAATACGCTGGTTGAAATCATCCGCAGTATGCTGATATTTACGAAAAATTTTGCATAACAAATTTTAGAGACCGAGGTATTCTAAAGATAGCAGGGACATTGTCTACCACATTTTTACTTCACAGCAACAAACATGTTATTTGTAAAACATGCACACTCAGAACTATTAAACAATAGCATTGAAACCCGTCGCAGACCCGTCTTTCGTTAGCCGACTTGAGTGATCCTGGAACATCATGCAGATCAGCGCGACGCCCGATCGTGGCTTAGATGAAAATATGGCAGATTTCGAGCTGCGGTGGCGCCAGGCGGAAAACAGGATTATTTGAGGTACTTGGCTTGACGAAACGGGACAGGCTCAGCCGGGATCCACATAGGCTCAATACCAGCGACAAAAATGCCCGCACCGAGCACTCCCTCGCAGAAATGGTGAACTTATCGGTCAGATTATAATTTTTATCATTTTTCGCTGACCAAGGCCACACGCAGCAAGTGCTGAGTAGCAAACAGTCAACATTGCAAATTATGGAGAATTTATGCCACCAATTTCGTTAGCATAACCTTAAGCGAATGCAATTACTTACTCCAAAACAATTTCCAAAACTGCAACATGTTTTGTTTTAATTTTACATAATTGTCTATCAGTTTGACCAGCTTTAATCGAAGTTCAAACACGTACCTAAACCTATGCAAGCTACACCTCTTTATCGGCTGATCTTCTGGTAACACCTCCCCAACCACATGGCGCGTTTGATAGCGAAAACGCACTCCTGAAGCCACCGTCCTGCTCCTGAAGTTCTCCTGAAGCCGAAGTTGGCTCTCCACACAGCCACTTCGAACACCATCCGGTGGTAAATCCCCAGCACCGGCTCCGTCAAGGTCCTCTTGTCACGCCCTGACTCAGGCTCAGCCTGTTCAGCCTGGCTCAAGCTGACGCTGCCTGCCAGGCGTAACGCCGGCCGCGCCGGTGTGTCTCTTGCAGCGTCCTCGGTATGATCCTGTTCGGCGGCAAGTTTTGCATGCGCCGTGACGGCTCGGGCGCATGCCTCTGCGGCCGTCTGGCTGATCACGACCCGCTCTGCGCCTGCCAGCGGAAGAACTTCGACAACTTCCTCTGGGCCACGGTCACGGTGTTCCAGGTAAAGGCTACCGCGGCCGCGGTCAGCGGCGGGGTTGTCATGGCGACGGAATTGACGCGCGCTCTGGCTGCGTCCTAATCACCACGCACAATTTCTTTCCAGTGCGGTTTTTTCGGTGGGCGTGGTGGATAGAGAAGGTACAGACAACGGCCAGCAGGGATGACTGCACTGACGCCGTCTTTGCGTTGGACTTATGTCGTGAGCTAGGTAGTTCAAAGTGAGATCGTACGTTCCTTCTGTTTCTGGATGGTCGAAAGATGCGGCTCAAAACTACTTCCATTCTGACGAAACCTCAGTTAGCATTTGCAGCTTGCCTCATACACTGCTGCAAGGCATCGGCACTCTAGCCCATTTGCGGCCGTCTCCAGAGTCAAAGGTCAGGCAGCTTGGTCACCTTACGTGGTGGCCTGGGCACTCTTTTGACGAGGCAGAGGATTAGCAACTCGAAATTTGGCATCTACCTTTCGATGAGGACGGAAGCGCGCGCAAGCGGACGTGTAACAGCGAGCAGCAGGGTGACGCCAGATCGATGCACCGCTAGCAGTAACTAAAGACAGAAGACGACGTAACACCAGCTCCCGCTACTGCTCAGACTAACGACAGGGTGGCCTTCCTCGTGTAGCTTCTACAGCCGCCTCAGCTTCACCCATGGCCAAAGCGGCTCTGCGGTCTTTCCGCGTGCAACAATAACGGAGATTAGCGAGCTTTCGACGACTGAAAGCCGGGGCGAGGTGAACCGTGCGGCTTTGCTGTGGCGTGGTCCAACTCTGAACTTTCCCCTTAATACCATTGTCCCGTACGTCAATACTTTACCGGATCATAGCCTGAGTGATGCACGAAAGAAAATGAACACAAAGGCATTACTGGATGTGTGTCCAGAGACTGAAACATCGGTGCAAAGCTTTTTAGAGTAAGTTGGCTGCGATTACGTATTCATATATATATATATATATATATATATATATATATATATATATATATATATGCATGTATATAACATATAACTGTGGTCGCTTCAAAAGACGCCAAGAGCAACATCATGGCGATCAATGACGACATAAAATGCCGGTTGGAACATGACGGAGTTTGACGACCGTTTTTCAGGGACGCGTAATCGCAACGTTGAATATGAATTGGTCGAGTGATATAAGTATCATATGCTCATTCAAAGGAACAAAATAACTTCCAGCGCCTCGTGTGCATGATCAGTTACTTATTCAGTCCGCCCAATTACCGGCACTATGCGGCTGCCGCTGTGCTGAATTGCATGAATAGTAGGACACCTGTTAGCACCTCCTTCCCAAATGGCAACAGCGTCGATGTGGCATGGTTTAATTATCCAATGATTATCTACGATCTGCACGTCAGGCATGCTAATATAATGTGACAGCATGGACAATCTGCCTCGGCGTCAGGGACAAAAAGGAGTTACAAGAATAACATCGTAGCCACGTGACCGTATATTGCCGTATGGTAGTATCAAACCATGCGAGGAAACTCTTGGAAAGCGTGACACACCAAAGGGAACCATGCCGCGAAACATGTTTTACCGTTGCCACCACGCCCAGCACATGCGCCTAAACCAACTCGCAGAGGCTATTGGTAAAATCTAACTTAAGCCGTACTTTGGTCCACGGGACGCAAAATTGGCCTCGGCTCTGGAAATGATCCGAAATGTCAGGAACGCGTCATCATCGCCGCCTTTCCTTCGCCTGCTCCGTGAGTTTATGAACACGATGCACAGCTGGCAAATGGAGGAAGTGGCGTATGCTGCGGGTGGTCGGCGAGGCTTCTAGGCTAATCTCGCCAGCACTGTTATGAACGTCATTGCATGTGAAAGCATGTGTCATATCATTGGAGCTTTACGACGCATTCAGCTGCTGAGGCTATATGGCGTCGCCTGCCTCTGACCCTGGCAGGAAGGGCGGGCACCGCAGGGAGTCGAACCCCATACCTCTGGTTTCCCAGACGCACATTGGTTAACGCAGATGCATTAACCACTACGCTACCGGCACCCCTATGTGAATGCACGATGCATGTGCCTAGCTGAAGTCGAACAGATGCACCCGTCAAACCTGTCAGAGTTTTCTGAGTCTTGTTGCGCGGTACTATAGGCGTTGAAACGGACATACCCGTACCTGCCACGAGCACGCGAACGTGTGTGCATTGATGGGCCGCCAGGCGCCGAATACCCCATACCTTTGAGAGAGGATTTACTCTTACCACCGATGATTTAGAATTTCATCTAGGCTTGGGGAAAATGCGTGGAAGTAGATCACCTGAGATCACTGTGTGTGTCACTCAAAACGTTTCAGAAAGCTGCATCTCTCTGCATGCAAGGTTACTCGTATACTGGTGTGTGATAAAGCGCAGCCTCCAATTTGCTCAATGATGCCTTACTTCACAAATCTGCGTAGCACGTCAGCCTTACATGGTAATTCGATTGAAGCTCTAGTACATTTTGCGGCAAAGTCTTCAGTTACATCGTGTCAATAGCATCCGAATGGAACCAGGCTGTTTACAGAATCACAGCTTCTGAAGGGGCTTGTCAAACCTAGACGACTTCATCATGCCGGTATCCAATCCTCTCGCAATGCTCTGTTTTAGGGCGCGTTGTCAGCCTCTAGGTACGAGCCGATCTGTCGTTTTATCGCGTGTTGGTCGCCGGCGCGGCTCACCGAGTGGCCGGCATCACTTCCATCCCATTGGTGTCACGACGATCGCTGTCATGCTCGGGTGACCTCAGCCCGGGTGGAATTAAGGAAAAGTTCGGCTCGCAACTCAGCATGCTGCCGCGGTCGAAGCGCTCCGAGGAAGCCTTCGAAGTGTGACGCCGGGGCGGTCAATGACATTGAAACTCGAGCCCTCCAGATCGGGGCATGCAGCCGGCGTGCCCAGCGCTCAGCCACGCGCGGCGGCCTAGGCGGCGGTGCGGGGCAGCATGCCAACGCAGGCGTACGTACATGTAACCACGACATACCAGTCTGCGTGCGTAGTGCGGTTCGTGCTGGCATACCAGTCTAGGCGTTGGTTGGCGCAAAGAGCGAACTGACACAGCGGTTCCTCGGATGTTAGGTGGGATAGCATACTAACACAAACGTCTGACAGGAAACGGACCGCCAGAACAGCCGGTAGTGTAGTTGTAGTGGCGAACGCGTCTGCGTTAGCCACTGCACGTCTGGGAAACCAGATGTACGGGGCTCGATTTCCCGCGGTGCTCGCCCTTCCTGCAACGGTGAGAGGCAGGCGACGCCATATAGCCTCAGCAGCTGAGTGCGTCGTAAAGCCCCAATGACATGACATGACACAATGGGACACAGATCACCGGAAACCTCGCACGCGTCGTGTAGACCAGACGGCATGAAATGGGCGGTCGGTACACGGAGTGCATTTCAAAAGATGACGTTACATAAAATGTACTTCCGAACGCTCGAAGCTAGCATTGGACTACTGGTAAAACTTAGCAGGCAATGTTTACTGACGCCGCCGCCATACAGCCTCAACGTATACATCACCCACCACCCTGAGCCCTCACAGAAGATAGTTGGCAGCAGTTCAGATCCACAGGGCACAGTTCTCACTCACCTGTAGGGCTCACGTATTGCGGGCATGGTTTTGTATCACTGTAGATCAAGTTTGATCTACCCCATTGCGATAAAGCCGCCTTCCTTGTTTATACGCGCCAAACTCCGACGATGCATATATGCTTGACCTTGACCTTTGTCCGCTTTACCACATCTGCCCAAGTTTCATGCACGACGTGCCGAGAGGTTTCCAACTTTCATGCCACGTCACACGGTCTCGGTAACGCAGTTGATACCTCGCCACGTCTATAAGTAGATGGTCAGAACTTTGCACCCCGGTCATCCCAAAGCTTTTCTTCCTGACTGGAATGGAATATTGTGTGATGCGGCGTCCAATTCCTTGTTATCTCCCTGTACAAGTTATGGACATACCACCCATCTATGTTTACAATACGTGAACATCACATTTCCTCTATGCCAACGCGGCTGTAGCCGACATCCACATAGAAACAGCTTGAACTCGTCTGTTGTTGCCTGTTGCGGCGCGCATCTGTGATGACCCCGCGGTGCATGTTTGCGTGTAGATCATAGAAGCATCAGTGTTGCACCGCGTGAAAGGAAAATGCAGCGACATGCCGAGTGTAGTAAAGGCAAACTTCTGAACAGTAAGTGGGTGTTTATTTTACATGTGGGGCAACCCTCAGTTTCGGTTTATTCCCATGCATAATGCCCTCAGTCGGGCGTTAGTACAACGCCACTGTCAGGACGTCGTCCCCCCGACAGTCCATCATCGCCTGTGTCGTGCGCTGCTCAGTGTTCGCACCCCACTGTTGTGCTCCGGGATTTGTCGCGGCGCTACATTGCTCTGGCGGAGCTACCACGGCGCCCCAGAGCTGCAGGCATGCTGGCCCGTCATGCGGCTCCTCACGCCGCCAGGTTCTAATGCGGCGCTGTGTGACTGCTGCTCGTGACCTCTGTGACCTCTGCTCCCGTGTGACCTCTGCGTGCGCTGCGAGTTTTGGACTCAGCGGTGTCCCGCCCAGCTCTAACACGCCGCGCCCTCCTGTCAGATACTGACGCAGGAGGATTGGAATGTGGTGCTGTTCAATGGTATGGAGCGCACGAGTCCGTGGGCAGCACTCTACTTTGTGGCTCTCATGACCTTCGGCAACTACGTCCTCTTCAACCTGCTGGTGGCCATCTTGGTGGAAGGGTTCTCATCAGAGGTAAGCACAGTTCTCCTGAACGCGTCAGGTTTTCACGCTTACGGTTATGTCTGCGTTTGACAGATTTTCCTCAGGGCGCCCAGTTTCCACACGCTTTTCACTGCTACCTAGCGCTGTTTTTCACCACTCGCCAGCATGGGACACGCGCATTGCTGTCTGCTTTAAACTTAACTGAGCAGTTACGGGCCCACTTATCCAGGCTGAGTTGAATGCGCTCATGGTCGGAATTTTTTAAAGCATAAACAAGGGTTGGGCACCACTCTTACAAACCTCAGGCGCTGCTGACAATGTTAGTTAGCCATCTGTCATCTGTTCCGTAACTTTTCCATTCTTTTCCGGAGGCTTAGATGAACTCGCAATTTCGACCCTGTTATTCTTCCGTTGCTTTAACTGTTGTAAAGCTCCGAGGTCCTTCCCGTCTTCTCTGTTCTTTACCACACACTAAATGTCACCAAGGTAGAATTTTGGCGGCTTGTTTGATAACATAATATCAATTGTCATCCAGAAAGCACTGTTTTCCGTGCTGCGGCAAACGCCTGCCTGCTTAAAGGCTGGTGAGACGAGAAGTGTGAGTGCTTCAATCTGTCTCTGCCTGCTTGTTGGCTGCGTGCTTGCTATTCGGCTCATTTGAATTTGGCAAAAATTAGAAACGGGTAAATTTTATTGTCGCGTCGCTTATATGTTCCGTCGCATCCAGAGCTGTCTCTACATAATTGTGATTTTCTGACCATGAACGCGGCCACCATCAGCAGTGTGCTATGTGCTTTTATGGCTTCTTTTCACGGCTTTCTTCATCACCGCAGCGTCTTCTACTGCCACATTGCACTGTCACTTCTTGGCCTCATCTTCTCATTGTGCACTGTAACATAGCGGCGCCTTCGTTCGCTTGATCGTTGTTACGCGCTAGGTGTGACATAACAGCCGTGCGTTCAGCGTGTAGCAGCGTTAAGTCCTGGGCGGCGGCGGCCCCCGCGGCCGGCTCGCGTGACGGCCCCGCCGCGGGCGCCGCGCCCGGCCCCGCCGCGGGCGCAGTGCCCGGCCCCGCCGCGAGCGCCGCGCCCGGCCCCGCCGCCGGCTCACGTGACGGCCCGTCGCGGGCGCCGCGCCCGGTCCCGCGGCCGGCTCACGTGATGGCTCCGCCGCGGGCGCCGCGCCCGGCCCCGCCCCGCCGCGGGGGGGCTCACGTGAACGGCCCGGCCGCGGGCGCCGCGCCCGGCCACCGCCGCGGGCGCCGCGCCCCGGCCCCCGCCGCGGGCGCCGCGCCCGGTCCCGCGGCCGGCTCGCGCGGCAGACAAACGGTAGCCTCCCTGTCATTCGGCTGTAGCCGCAAAACCCAGCCTCAGCAACCAGGCATCGCCGCTGGCCAGCCGCCCAGGGCTGATCCAGATCCGACAAAAAGGCTTTGAAAAGCATTACGGCCAACGGTGGGATGAGAATTGTCCTCCACCGGCGGAATGTCGCTGGTGGTGCCCTTACTGGAGGCTGCTTGACTCGCGCTGGCCGAGCCGGCCGCGGGCGCCCGGCCCCCGCCGCCACGGGGTGCGACGTTTCCGCCGCGAGGCGCGCCAGTGAACGTCGCTCCCCCCCTCAAGCGGCACGAGCGTGCTGAGCGCCAGGAGCGGGAACGGCTGCGGGCGCTGCGACGCCAGGCCGCGCCGCCGGCGGGCCGGCGTCCGACGGCGCGCCCAGCCCGCCCGAGCTCGAGTCGCCGCCGGCGCCGTCGCGGACCGCACAGGGTGACGTCACGCCCACGGCCAGCTGGCGCCACGCCGGGCATGACGCCGCGCCAGCATGGGCGGGCGCCGGCGGAGACGCATGAGCTGAGCGGCGCGCCGGCCGCCGCGGGCGACACGCACGAGCCCAAGGTCGGCGGAGGCCGGGAGGAGGACTGAACCCACCTCCGGACTAGTTGTGTGTCTGTCTGTGTTTTGGTGTATCCTGAATGGGTGTCGGCAGCGGGCGGCGTGATCAAATTGCGACACACACCGCTCTTGCGTGCTCTGCTGTTGCTCGTTCTTCGCAGACTATCGTCGAGCGACGGTTGCACACCATTTCAGGGAGTGTGGGGTTGGTAGCATTTCTGGGCTTGTGCTAGAACGGGGCGTTAGTGTCTGTGATGCTGTGAATGTCTGAACACCTTGATGCCAATTTAAGGTACCCCTCCGCCATTCATTTGTCCTGGAAGACAACAACAATGAGGACTGTCATGAATGAGGACTGTCGTACTGACATAATTCCGATTCCTCTTGAATCTGAATGCACCTCTCACCCTTTGGTGTGTAGTCTGCAAGATGTAGCGGCGTTGGGGCGAGCTTTGGATCCCATAACTGGTGGAGGTCGCTCACAAGGGCCGAGGACGCCCGTTCTACTCTGGCGCTTTGTACCGCACTTTTTACATGCGTTGAGTGATGGGCACACCTTGAACCCTGCAGTGTCTCAATTAACGGTGGAGGAAAGGGAGAGGGAAGTAATAGCCACCATACATCCTCTTTTTGTGCTGAACGAAGGCCATTGGGCATGTAAAGAGCTGTAGAGTTCAGAAGTTGTCTGTGGCGTGTTTCTCGCCGAGAGCTCGGTAACTTGTGACATACACAACTCCGACGAGAAGTGGTGTAGTAGCTTGTCAGCATGTCAGTCTGTCAACCTCAGCCTGTTCAGCCTCCGGGGCAGGAAGTTTGTGGCCTTGAAACGACAAACAGGGGAAACTGTTGTCAATGCTAGCAAGCCAAACACTACAGTTACATTAAAAACAAAACTTATTCTCTTCCTTAGGGACTGCCCACAAGATCGGCACAATATGGTCAAGATACAACTTGTGCACGACGATCGAACAGCTTGGCTTCAGTTTGGCCTTAGTTTGACCTGAGCTCGGCTCATTGTAGCTTCCTTGTCATTTGAGAACACTCGATATTCATATCATGAATTTAGAAAAATTCTGCCGATCTACTCAGAGTCTCTCGCTCATCTTTCATCACCATTTCATTCCGTTTAATTCAAGAAAATTTTAAGTTAACCTTTACGCCGATTCCCGTTTTTCATAACGCGAACGGACAGGAAGGGGGAGGGGTGGGTAAGCTCCACTACCATTTCTAAAATAAACGTGCTAGAGCCTCTCACGAAAACAATGGATTGGTGTCAGCAAGCCCTCGGGGCTGATGTTTACAGTTTTTGTGCTGTGAGGTCAAGAATTAAACCCATTAGGCCAAACCAAATGTATTTTTCTCCCGAAAATCTTTCCAGACGTGTATGCCGAAATATCCGAAAGCATGCAACGTAGCGATATGACACTTTCACAGGCGTGTTTCTTGCTTAATTTGAAGGACATCGGTGCGTAGCTAATGTGTGGTTTTGTGTCCTTTGAAAAAAATCGGAGACGTCGGATGCCGTTTGTGTAAGAGTGTCATGCCACCGTCTGTCATCCACGAAATCGCTGCTGCCACCTGCCGTTCGCGCCGTCCAGTATTCGTGACAAAACGTCTCCACTCAGAAACCAAAGAAGCCGTAAGATCGGTGTTTGGTGTCAAGATACGCGTAACGAGTTCCCCAGAGGCTTCTGAACATTTGGGCGTGATTGCACGGCTCACTGGAGTGAGGTGGCCAGAAAATGGGGGTTGGAAAGGGTTGAACCATCCCTGATTTACGTCAACCATGAAACACGAGCACGTGTTTCAAATATCAAAACTTCCTTAAACTATTTTCTGCTTCTCGTGCCCTTGACACAGAATGTCTTGACACACATTACACCATAACAGTAGTGTTACTACGCCTACTACTACTACTACGGTATTACGCTGTGATTTTCGTCACCCGGGACCATGATAATTCAATTGTTCTTTTACACTTTGTTGTCACTTCTTCCGTCTTCCGCCTCTGCTTCTGCTGGCTGTCCCAAACATGTCATACTTGTCCTCCAGCCTTCGCCTGGTGGCTATCGAGCCTGTCCACACCAGCCGTGCACCGCTCCCGGCGCTGGGCGTGGAGCCACGCGCCGCCTCACGTGCACGGCGCAATGACCTGAATGCGCCATTTGGATGTCGTCTCTCCTTCCCCGCCCAAATGTAAACCCAGTCCCCTGTAAACCCAGTAACCCCGCCCACTGTCTGCGCGTTCCCTGTGGCTGAGGTCCGACCCTTGGAGCAGCTAGCGCCCGGGCATCAGAGTACCCCCTCCACCCCCTCCCCCACACAACCGTAGCGTTCAGCACAGCACCCCTTGTGCGCAGCAGCACCGCTCTGTGACTTCCGTGAGGAGCGTTTTGTAAGCTGACAAAGCGTAATGTCGGCCTTTATGCAAAGTTCGCTCGGATCTCACAACATGTTGTCAGCAAGTGACCGTCTGACCGCGGTGCAGTCTCGTTACCGACCAGTCTGACCGCGGTGCAGTCTCGTTACCGACCAGTCTGACCGCAGTGCAGTCTCGTTACCGACCAGTCTGACCGCAGTGCAGTCTCGTTACCGACCAGCCTGCCCGCAGTGCAGTCTCGTTACCGACCAGTCTGACCGCGGTGCAGTCTCATGGCGGACCAGTCTGGCCGCGGCGCAGACTCGTCCCGGACCAGTCTGACCGGCCGGTGTCCACTGACCGCCGCGCGAGCCGCCGCCCCCAGCCTCCTCCGGGAGAGAGTGGGGCAGGCCGGCTGACGGCCCGCTCTGACGTCACAGGGCCGGCGGCGGCGGCGGAGCCATCTGAGCCACCTGAGCTCGGGCAGCGGGCCGGAGCGCGCCGCTGACCCGGAGCTGGGCTGCTCGCTGTCGCTCGAGTGTCGCGGCGACCGGCGCAGGATGGCAGGTGGGCTGCGACACTGGGGCCGGGCGGGGCTTCGCCCGGGCCTCGCCTCCATGTCCGTCGGCCGAGGCTGTTGCCAGATGGCCTGATCCCAGGTCGGCTGGTCGTTCCCTGGTCCCCTGATTACACCCGCATTGCTTATTTCAACACCATAGGTGGCTATTCAAGAGTCTTCTTATCAAGGGGTGCTCACCGACCTTCCCCTGACTACACCCAGCATCGCTGGTGGCCCCTTCCACCAGCCATGCATTGGCAACAGACGCGATCATTAGTGCTTTA